TAGTTTCTGCCATAATTGCATATGCTCTGCTCCAGCTGTTCCTTAGTGTTAGCTGTGCTTGGCTTCAGTGAAAGTAGCTCCTCTCTCCTCCCTAGTGGCCTTTAATGAAAGAGCAGTATATCTGTGTACATGTGGGGTGTTGGGGGGAAGGAGGATAGAAGATGAAGGGGAGAATGAATGTTTCTCCTTTAGGTTTGCTGCTTCTACTTGAGGTAGGATATAGACAGTCAACCTGAATTAATTTGATGGGCTTTGCAATGACAAAGGATAATGGAGGGTTTGGGCTTACTTAAATCAGAGGTTTAGAATGGCTTAATACAGCTTAGGAGATGACAGAATTGCTCTGTTCTCAGAGGTCTGGGATGTAATGACACTCAAGGACAATGAAAGCAGGCTAAAACAATAGCACCCTATGCGACTCAAATACAGTGTTGGAAAAGTAGGTCTAGTTATCATCCTGGGCTTATATTCTTTTTGTTTCCATTTCTCCTTCTCTAATTATCTGGCCTTACCAAACTTCGACTGCGTTCTTATGATTCTAACAGTATAGAGAAAAACAAGACCTCCCGAAAAGTCCAACAGTGCCAGCATATAAAAGCCTCAGAACTTCCTGGAGTCTACCAGGTATAGCTTGATGCCTAGAGCTGGGTTTTCTGCTTCAGCACGAAAGGCATCACATCCATGCAGCAGGTGCAGGGCTGCAGTCCTGGCCCACAACCTGGGCAGCTGATCAAAGATAATTGTCATGGAGGGCAAAGTGCATTTCCTATGAAACAAAAAAAATGGAGTGGGTGGAGAGTTGAGTGAGATGGGGAGAATGAAAGGGGTAACATTGATCAAGAGGCACTGTCCCTACACATTGACATGTTGAATGGCAACTCCTTTGCACAACTCCTTAAAGATAACACCAATCAAATAAATGGTGTTGATGAGCATGACTCTTTAAATTCCTTTCAGATTCTCAGGCACAACATTTAAAGCATAATCTGCATTCTTTGTTAGAGTGTTTCCAGTGATATCACAGATTTTCCACAGTTGAGTATCCACAGACAAGCAGATGGGGTGAATGTTCTCTTCAGCATAAAATCTACTTTAGTTCAATGCTACATGCACATTGCTGTGGATGTGGGAAGATATGAAATGTGTTTCTTCAGACAGATCCTTTGGTTTAGAACATGCTTGTAGGAGTTTACTCTGAAGAGATCAGGCAACCTATAAGTATATTAATTTGCTGAAGGATTTTTACTAAATATTGTCCTGAGTTTACAGCATGGTCCTGGATTCTTAATAGTTACATCACTTTGTGCCTATCATTCTCTGCATTATCTGTAGAAAAGACAGATAATTATCCTTATTTCATAGAGCTTATATATTATTACCAGAAATGAATATCTAAAAGTACTTAAGATAGTATCTGATATAATGTATTTGTTTTTAATAATATGACAAATTTGAAATATCCTACATACTCATTTTATTCAAAGAAAAGGGATTATGTTTAGGGGAAAAATCAAATAGGCTGCATAATAATGTTGCTAAGCCTCAGTGCTGAATGATTTTATATCAAGGGTTGTTTTGGATGATAGAATTATAGACTGTTTTTCCTTCTTGAGTATGGCTATTTTCTCAATTTTCTACAAAAGACATGTCCAGTATAAATGAAAGTTGCCTCTTTAACTGCTTTGTTAAGTGGCAGCTCCTTTGTACAACTACTTAAAAATAATTTTTAAAAGGTGCCTTTTAAAAGGGTCAAAACCCCTGAATGGTAATGGTAACCACATTTAACATTGATTCAGAGCTTATGATGGATCAGATGGTTTTCTCCATTTTATATCCTATACATATTAACTGATCATCCTATAAGGTGGTATAATAACTTTATAAACCTATGAAGTGGCTACTGTGATTTTTATCTCCACTTAACAGATAAGGAAACTAAGGCACTAAATTGTCTGATGTCTTCCCCTGGCTAAGTAAAGGTAGGACTCAGGTTCTTCATTCTTAGGTTAGGTGTTCTTTGTATGATTCTACAATATAAAAGAACCTCACTGATCTATGGTAACTACAATAAAGTCTGATTGTATATGCTGCTTAAAGGCAATAAACAAAGGCTCTCTTCTTCATTCTATCTCTGTTGGTAGCTAATAAACAGTGAATTTTCAGGTTTCCAGTCTTCTGCATGGTTTGCCTAATAAATTGGGACAGTATATCAAGTGATCAATTAAAAGCAACTTTATGAGTGAGGCACACAAGTTTGGGCTACTTGAGAGACTGATGTAGGAAGATCATTTTAGCTCAAGAGTTCAAGGCCAAACTGGGCAACGTAGCAAGACCTTGACTCAAAATAAAAATGAAATTAGCTTTTTTGAAATGTATCTTCTATAAAAAGCTCATTAATTTTTTTCCATTGTATTCACCAAATTGGAAATTGTTTATCCTTCCTAAAATCATAAACTGAAGTAGTTGTGGAGCAGCATAGGTATGTTTTCACTAACATATCATTTAGACAGTTCTGAATACAGCTTCCTGGCACCCCCTGAGTATGTTTTCTAATCCTTTTAAGATGTGCAGAATATAGAAAAGCACTGAGACCAAGAGACCTCTGGATCTTCACATACATAAAAGTCAATATATTGAGTTCTAGTTGCAATAAAATAGAGAACAAAGTTACCCTCTTGGTTTAGCAAATGTAATTACCACAGAACAAAGCATCCTGGGGATAAAGTGGATCTTCAGCAATTTTCCATTTCTGTTGTAGAATTTTTATTTGTATGCAGACAACCTTTTATGAAAATTATATACTTGCAAGTAATAATTTTACCTTAGAAATTAATATCTTAACCTGGATGGGCTATAACCAAATCATCTATTTTGAAAAATCATCTTCCTTTATCTTTTAATAATCTGCCTGGTAATTTGCTGACAGCGCTAGTCAAAAATAGTGTGTTGCTGAATTAAAAAATCAGGCTTGAATCCTGAGATTGTAAAATATTACAAGCCAAAGAGTACATTACTCAGAAGCAACTAATTAACTTCCAGAAGCTATTGGAGTTCATTACATATTTAGACAAATTCTCTGAAGTCCAGAAGGTCTGGTTCTTGATAAATTACCTCCCTAATCTTCCCTGAATTCAGCTGGGAACTGAAGTTCACAGCTGTAAACTGAACAAGAGACTCCACCCCTCCCCACCCCACCACCCTGCTCTCTGTCTTTCCATGCATGGTCCTACTTCTCCTCTAGCAGAACTAATGAAAGCTACACAGAGAGGATCCGTATGCCAGTGTACCAAAGTCTCTTAGGGAAATTGCAATGTATAGTCTGTCTAGGAATCTCTCAGCTTCCTATTTCCTCCACTGCCTTCCTAGGACAAAGCTTGTTGTCACAAAAGCATCTAAGGATTTGGTTCTATGCAGGATCCATCACCCAAAGTCTTGGGTACATCAGCTTTGGTTTCCATAATAGTACAACAGTGAGATTAGTATCTGTTTTACCATAACGTCAAGTTTAAATGATATAAAGAACAGAAAACATCTCATATGAGTCCTGGGATATAGTGGGCACTCAACAGTTATTTTTATAATGATAGCTATTGTTCACTGCTTGTGAGATTTTCAAGGATTCAAATTCTTATTTTCCTGAAGCTTTGCAATGGAAGTTGGCTGGCGCTGGTGGCTCAGACCTGTAATCCTAGCTGCTCAGGAGGCTGAGCTCTGAGGTTGTAGTTCAAAGCTGGATGGAACAGGAAAGTCCTTGCAACTCCTACTTACAAATAAACAGCAAGAAATCTGTAAGTGAGGCTGTGGCTTGAGTGGTAGAGCTTAGCATTGAGGAGAAAATCTCCACGGATAGCATCCAGAACTATGCTCAAGTCCCAGGACCAACACACACACACACACACACACACACACACACACACAAAGTTGTTGGCACACACACACACACACACACACACACACACACACAGAGAGAGAGAAAGTTGTTGGCTCAGAGTTCTAGACCAGAAGAATCATAAATAACTTTATTTTATAGGGGCTTTGTTACAAACCAAATAGAATTTTATTCTTAGATTTTCTTTTCAAAAATGCATGAAATTTCTTCTTTCTTTTTAAATTTCCTTTTACTTTTCCTTGTTCTAGCTGGCCTCTTTTCCCCTGTCCTTACTTCCCCAGGGCCATTTTTGGGATTATTTCCATTATTACTATTTCAGATAGTGTCTTTTATTTATGAGAAAAAACTTACACTATGTTAACAGACAACATGTATTTCTTATAATCACATACTCAACTCCTGCTTCAATTCAAAATACATGATTTTGCAAATGAAGCACCCCACCCTAAAACGAAAATTCCACATTTCAGTATATTTCATAGGTTTCCCTCACTGGCTAGATGTCAGTTTCCTGCTTTTAGTCCAAGTTTTGTTTTTGTTTTTGTCTTTTTATAGAAAACCAAAGCTGCAGTCAGACAAAGTGAGCCCTGTAATCAGATAGTGTGGGTTCAAGCAGCGTTTAGCACCCAGCCTGTCCTCCTGACCGCTTCTAAGTGGCCGACCATCTTCAGACCTGAGGTGCCAAGTTCAACTATGACTAGCTAGCTGACTGCAAAAGCCCAAAGATAAACACTCTCAGAAAAGCTAGCTCAGTACTGATAACTATGCTTTTCCTTTTGCTTACACTTGGGGCTCACACTGTTGTTGGGTGAGAGCCTTGGGTGGGCATTTCTTGCCCTGCTTGGGTCACTGTGGAAAATCTGCTGGAGACTGGCCTCTTTATGAAAGCAGCTTGCCTGTAGTTCTAGCCTGTGTTTATGAAATGATATCCTTGTGCTTAGCCTTCTCTTGTCTGCTTTGAGGAAAATGCTGAGAGCTAAAAGCTCTGGAATCTTGGTACTGGCAGAGTTCCCAATGCAGGAAGCCAGAGACGTAGAAGGCTGGGGACGGGCCAGCCAGCTCTTGGGTTTTGTTTCCTTCATTCTTCTTTCTCCCCTGTTGTTTCTTTCAGGTAGTGAAGCCGATTTTAGCTCCTCCAGCAGCACGGGCAGCATTTCAGCCCCCGAGGTCCACATGTCTACCACAGGAAGCAAGCGGTCCTCTTTTGCACGCAAGTAGGCATTGTGTCTAGCTTAGTACTTTGGGTGCTTTACACAGTTGACATACCTGCGCTTTATGTTTCTATGGAACCATCTTGTTTGTTGATTATTCTTACCATCAATGAAGGGGTTTATATGATTTGCAGTAGGGTCTTTCCCTACTTGACTTATTGTGGTCACATGACTCAGTCTGAGTTATCCCCCAGAGATGTCCCCCATCGAGACCTGGGCACTCTGTCCCCTCATCCTTCACTGTCCTCTTTCCCTCACTCACCGATCTCCTCCCTTGGGTATTAGGCAGGTAGTCATCCATTTCCCCAACCTGCCTATGGCTTCACTCTTCCTTTCCTCTAGTTCAGCTTCTGTTTTTCTTTGTGAACAAAGCAGTGGTCGCAAGAGCTCCCAAATTCTACTTTGGTAAAGAGCAAAGAAGTGTGAAGTTCCCAGAGGTGAGGCCCACCACTGCAAGAGCAAAGCATCTAAATGTGGTAGCTATGAGCCAGGCTGTCCTAGTCTGAGTGCTATAGTACCACCCTGAGCAAAATGCTTAACTTCTCACCTCCTCCATTTCCTCATCTGTAAGAGACTTACAGTGATATATCACTCACAGAGTTTCTAATTGGCTCAGTACATACAGCTTAATGTTTTGGATTAAGAGTTCATCACTGATGTGTGAAATTGGAGAAGAGGACTGTGGGCATATATATGGAAGCCACCATTTACATGTAATGGAGGATAATGTAAGCTCCAGAATTCTCTACCTGCCTCCTTCTAGTATTCAGTCAGCATCTATTGTGATTCAGGGACTGAACATACAACAGCAAGGAAAACCCCACAAAACGTACATTCATCCTTATATGGCAAAAAATACAATAAATGTGAAATGATTATTTAAAAAACATGCAGGGAAAGGATACAGAGTAATAGATCATGTGATAGAGTCTAGATGGGCTGGTCCCAGGAGACCTCAGTGATTGGGAAGCTCAGAACAAGACCCTGAAAAGAGTGATCGAGTGAACACACCACACCTGGGGACCACTTTCATTCTGATTTTATGTAATCATTTGAGCATAGTGGGCTACAGTATCTAAACTGGAAAATCTGTAAACAGAAAACAACATGGGTGGTAGGATGGGAGGGATGATGTAATATAGGAGGTGCTTTCCTAGAGGGATTTAGTTTCTAGAAACTTGCATTTTCAGGACTCAGCAAGCACATTTCCTATTTCTCTTGGGTGATCAAAGGTTTGGCTGATGTTTATAAAAGGACTGGAGATACCCCCAGTGCACATTCTTATTATTAGAAATAAAACTGAAGCCAGACAAATCTGAAGGAATAAAGTCCACTGAACAAAAGCACAATGGCTCTATCCCCACATCATTCTGTTCTAAGGAAATAAAGTGTTTGTGGGTCACAGAGCATAAATATGGACTTTCTCTGTATAAGTCAGATGTGTCTAGCCCTGAGGATCTAACTCATCCAAGAAACTAGCATATACCCATGGAACAGGTTATCTGAGAATATGGACTTTTTAAAAAGCCAATTTGATTAAGCATTTCAAAGAAACTTGGGTTAGTGGATAAATTCCAAGGTCAATAATGCAGAAGGTCTTAGAGAAAATGTTCTAGTCTAGAATTTCTTTATATGATCAAAAAATAATACATTAAATATGATACATTGAAGTTGATACATTAAATCAAAATATTTAATGGATACATAAAATGGTTAATAATAATTATATGCAAATCAAGTATGTGCATACATCAGAAACAACTATTGCCAAGGGTTAATAGACCTTCAAAGACTCAGCAACAATTAGCCAGGTATGGTTGTGTAATCTTGTAATTACAAACTACATGGTAAGTGGAAAATTGGATGATTATAGTTTTAGGCCAGCTTGTGGCAAAAAAAGTCCTGAGATCCCATCTCAACCCCAAAATGGCAGCACATACTTGTCATCCCAGCAACCAGGAAACATAATCCAGACCAGCTTGGTCAAGGCCCATGATCCTATTATTTTTTGGGGGGGGATCCAGTCGTGGGGTCTGAACTCTGGGCCTGGGCGCTGTCCCTCAGCTCTTCAGCTCAAGGCTAGTACTCTACAACTTGAGCAACAGCACCACGTGGTGCTGAGGAATCGAACCCAGGGCCTCAGGCATGCAAGGCAAGCGCTCTACCACTGAGCCACCTTCTCAGCCCCCATGATCCTATTTTTAAAAGAACTAAAGCTTAAAGAACTTGAGGCATGGCTTCAGTGGTAGAGCCCCTGCCTAGCAAGTTTAGGAAAAAATAGTTGAGTAATTAAGTTTGGATCCTTTTCTTTCTCTGACCCAAGCATAGAATAGCTCAGGCATAGTCATATATATATGTTCTGAGGCTTCTCAAGTTTTGAAAGTTAGGGTTTCAACCATACCTGAATAATATGAGAATGGGGCAAAGTTCATCTCATGAAAATGATCATAGTGAATAATGATGATGATGGTGGTGATGAAGAAATGGTGATGATGGTAGAATTACCTGAAGTAAGGGCCATGGTTAGAGTATAGGAATTTTCTTCCTCTCAGGAGATTAACTTCTATGTTTCTCATTTCTCTTTCCAATTACTCTGGAAATGAGCAGCATTGTTATGTCCACTCTCTTACTTTGCATTTTATTTGAAAATTATGAGAAATGAGAGAGCGATGGTGGTGGTTATAATGATGATGTTATAGTGTGATAGTTTGTTCAGCATAGTAGGTGAGTTCTCTGGAAATTCTCATATAATTAGCTGGTCCTTAATCATATATCTTAGCTCTTCATTGAAGTATGGATATTAGTGGTGAAACCTTTAGATATCTAAAACAATGTACTGCAAGATCCAACCTTAGCTGTGTGTTCGTGCACCATTTCTTTTCCCCAAGCTTCAATTACTTTATGTGTAGGCAGGAGATACTAATTGTCCCAGCCTTCTGGGATGGTGAGCTAGTGATGTGAAAGTGCTTATAGCCCATCTGGATCAATCCCTAAGTCACAGAAGATCCTCTGTAAAGTTAAATTCTATTCTATTCTACAGTCCCATGTCAAAATCAGGAATGACTGTCCATATTCTTTTGCAATTTAAACGGGTTAATCCTCCATATGTCTTGTAGTCACATTAAGAAATAGGCCTGTTGGTGCCAGGCTTTAGAAGTGAAGCGTGGAGCAGAAAATCTAAGCCAGAGTTCATGTTCCTTTCAGCTACCCATAAAGTTCTTCCCACTCCTGGACTGCTCGAAGTTGGTTTGTCACCAAGCCATCAGCCCATCTGTTCCATATAAAGTGTCCTTTTCTTGCAAAATGAAGAACAAGTCTTTTGGGATGAGTTCAGGAGGAAAGAAGTTCTAACTTCAGAGTTTGGAGGTTTCATGTATGTGTGATTTTCTGGGTTGACAGCTAGTTGAAATTACATCTGATTTTAAATAAGTAATTATGGTGAGTGTGCCAGGTTTACCCACATGCATGCTCGCCTTCACATTTATACACGTTTACCACTGACATACATGGCAGTTGGATATGTGCTGTGATTAAAATTGCAAATAGAAAGAGATGTCAAAAGGCAGCACTGCTATCCAAAGGCATCTTCTTCATCCTCGTTTCCTTGAAATATCATCAAGAAATACTCCTGAAAGAACTGTTATCCTATTTAAGAAATTTTAGCATTCTCTAGATGCTTCCCTACTTTGTTTGGATATCAGATCTCTGCAACTAGATTAACTGGAATGTCCAAACTAGATAATCCTGTAATATCAGTCTACAATTGAGTTACTCTTGGTTTCTTGGGTGCATTTGATTGTTTTACATACCTGTTTTTTGTATTTAATTATGTTTTTAGGTAATACTTGGATCTGAATGTGAGGTCTTGTGCTTGCTAGCACATGCTTTACTGCTTTAGTGCATTTGATTTTGTTTCTTGGTGGTGTTGGTTGTGGGGCTTGAACTCAGGGCCTAAGCACTGTCCTTGAGGTTGGTTTTTGCTCAAGGCTAGTTAGTGTTGTACTACTTTGAGCCGCAGTGGTGGTTGATTGGAAATATGAATCTCACAGCCTTTTCCTGTGAGATTCTTAGGCTCCTGAGTAGTTAGGATTACAGGCATGAGCCGCCAGTGCCTGGCTGATTTTTTTTGGAGGGTTGGAGCTTGAACTCGGAGCCTGATGTTCTGTTCTTTAGCTTTTTCACTCATGGTTGGTGCTCTACTGCTTGAGCCACAACTCTACATCTGCCTTTTTGTTGGTTAGTAGTAGACAAAAGCCTCATGGACTTTCCTGAATAGGCCAGCTTTGATTGTATTTGATTATGATTTGATGTTCTTATGAATTCGGTGCTGAAGGCAGGAGGAGTGTGTGTGTGTGTGTGTGTGTGTGCGTGTGTGCATGCACATGTGCATATGAAATGGCTTATGGCTTACCTAAGTTCCAAGTATGTGGTAGTACCAGGACTCAAATCGAATTTATTCTTTCAGCAGCCATGTAGGGAGTACCTAGTATGTGCTGGGAAGTGGTGGGGCTGTAGAAGGTCAAGCTGTGCTCCTTCCTTCAAAGATGCCCCAGTGTAGGAGCAAGACAATTAAATATTCACTGGCAATTTCGTTCAACAATTCCACACTGGCAGTTTGTATAGGGTATTAGCACCAAAAAGCAGTACTGCCAATGGCCTAGAAAAAGAATTCAGAGAAGGTTTCTTGGAACAGCTTCCCATCATTCTCAAAGTGGGAGGCATCTTGGTATCTAGGGGCTTAGAGAAGGCAGAGGGACAGTTTTAGGCCGGAGAAACTGTAGCTTCAAAAAGATAAGGATGATCACGAGCATGTATCCTTCAGGAAACTAAATCATTTGGAATGATACAGAGCAAAAAGGAATGGTGGAGGAGGGGTTTGGAGGAGTGGTGGATTAGACCTCTAGCTACTGCAAGGAGTCTGGCCTTTATTCTTGAGGGAATTGAGAAAGGTGAGAATATTCAAATTCCATTTTAGAAAAGGTACAAATCAGACTCCTGCTGAAGAGGACAAAGCAATACACAGGGGACTCAAGATGAGGCTGTGTGAACATTTTTGTAGTTAAATGGGAAAGTCTGTGATCAGTTGGGAATGGAAAGAAAAGCAAAACATTAAATAGCCTCTCTTAGTCTGTTTCTTCCCCACAATGGGAAACTCCATCATCTCCATAGATTAAATGAATTAGCTTAATTTTCTTACCCCAAAATGAACCAAAACCAAATATTTCTAAACCAAAGCAGGTGCACTGGAACAAAAAACATACTTTCAAAACAGCCTCCCAAATGAATCTAAGCCAAATCAATATTTTACCTGGTATGTGTTCTTAATGGGCAATTGGGTTTAATCCAAAACAAGCTTTATGGTCAGAATCAATTTGAAAAAAGAGCAGAAAGTAAGGCTTCTTGTGCTAATCTATGAGGAGAGGGGGAAAAAAACAGGTAAGCTAGGAAAGGCTATTCATTAGGACAGTTTGCATCAGGAATTAGATTGCCCTATTTAACTCTAAGAATTATATTTCCCTAGTTGGAACTGGGTTTTGGAAGGCAAAGCCATTTCTAGCCACAAGGGCTCTAACATTTGTTATGTTCTCCTTCTAGTCGAGGTCCCCATGGGCGGAGTAATGGAGCTTCATTGCATAAATCTGTCAACAGCCCACCGTCCCCTAGGGAAAAAGACCTTCTGTCCATGCTGTGCAGGAATCAGCTGAGCCCAGTTAACATCCATCCCAATTATGCACCTTCTTCCCCAAGTAGTAGCAACTCAGGTTCGTACAAAGGAAGTGACTGCAGCCCAGTGATGAGGTGAGTTCCATTCCTCTCCTTAGTTCAGCTTTTCTCTAAAAAAGAAAAACAACGCACAGCATTTAATCTCCTGCTTTATTCTGTAATAAGACACTTCTCTTCCCCTTCCCATACTCAGATAATCCTTCAAGGATTGCTGCAGAAAGATCACAGACCACAATGTCTAGCAGGGTACAGCAGTCCAAGCAGTGCCTTGATAAGGAAAGCAATGGCATAGCAGCAGCAGGAGGGATGTGGGCATTAAATCTGCCTGTGTTCATTCATTCATTCCAACATCGTATGTTTATGGAGTACCATGTTCTGTGTGCAGCACTGAGGATAGAATGCCTGGATCTCAATGCCCAAAGGAGAAGACAGTAACTATCTAATAACAAAATCAGTCTAAGGTTATTCTACAGCTTTTGTGGTGATATGAAGGTACACAACATGGGGAGGGGGTCCACTCAGAGGAAGTGAATAGAAGCAACATCTGAAGGCAAGCAAAGAGTCAACAGTATGGGGAGAAGGAAGAATGGAGTGCACACCCAGAAGGGCAGGGAGGAGGAGGGCCAGAAGGGAAGGAACTGGGCATAGGCCATCTTGGGCGGAGTTCAGGCACAGGCGCAGGCAACACAGTGGCTTGGATTTGGTCCAGCAGCAGGGGAGAAGCTGGCTGCTCTCCCCAGTTCTCTTCTCCCTGAGTGACTTGTTTTCATGAGTCAGCTCTTACAGCAGGGATGCCCTGCTCTTGGCCAGGATTCTAGCTGGGGCTGTTTGCAGAACATTGAGTGCCTCTCTCACAAAACACAACTGATGTGAGTAGAGCAGCCTCGTTCAAGAAGAAACTTTCCATTCCCATCAATGCAGTACACTCATACCAGGGGCTGAGGTCAGAACAAACTGAATTTAACGCACATCATGCAGGATCTTTAGACAGGGGCACGTTGTACAGAAAGGTCATCTTGCCCCTTTCTCTCTCTTCTTCCTTTCCACCCTAATTGCCCTTTAAGTGTAACTATGAATACACAGCAGGGGCCTGTGAGCAGTTCTAAGAGATCATCACTTAATTCAGAAGAAAAAATCCTTGCTTCACACTCCCTCCTCTACATACCACCCCCTCAGTCTTCGATGTCATTCACAGCCCTGAGATTAGCAGCTATGTTCTAGTCTGTCTTAGGTGAGCCCGTGTTACTGAGGTCTAAGACCCCCCAACACACTGCTGCAGTTCCTTCTCAAGCATTGAATTATGTGTTTTAGTCTGACACAGCAAAGATGGGGTGGTTATACGGTGTGGCTAACACACAATAGAAAGCTTTGCTCAGAAAGTTTTTCTGGACACTGTGTCTGAGATTGGGGTCGGAGCTATGTCACAAGGGCCAGGTTCTGCGGAAGGCTCTCTGCTGCCTTTTTTATATTATTCTCACGAGGAGGCTAACAATTTAGGGAGTTTCCTAGGATCTCTTAGAAAGGGAGTTAGCGTTTCAACACTTATTTTCTATAGTGGGGGGGGGAGGGGACCTAGGGCTCAACGTAACTTCATTACTTGGATTGTTTCAGGCGGTCTGGAAGGTACATGTCTTGTGGAGAGAATCATGGTGTCAGACCCCCAAATCCAGAACAGTACTTGACCCCTCTGCAGCAGAAGGAGGTCACAGTGAGACACCTGAAGACCAGGCTGAAGGAATCAGAGCGCCGACTTCATGAAAGGTGAGTCTGCATTCCTCCTGTGGTGTTCCTTATGCAGTGTGATTTAGGACAATATTAAGACTACACTATACTAAGTATAATTATCCAAACCATATAGAAAAATAGAGAAGAAAAACATTTTTGGTCAAATTTCTTTTTTTATATTGTGAAAATACCATACAGAGGGGTTACAATTACATGGGCAAGATAATGAGTACATTTCTTATCAAGCATTGTTGCCTCCTCCTTTGTTTCCCCTTCCTATCCCTTCCCATCTCCTACCCTCCCTGCCCTCCACCCCCAGCCAAAGTTGTAAAGTTCATTTTTTGATATAACAACTTGTACATATTATTGTTGCAATGGGCCCACCTGTATCCCTATTTAAACGATTTGTATTTTCCCTTCCCCTCCACAAATTATACCAAAATCAAATATAGTGAAAGCAGGGGGAGGGACATACAAAGCAACAAAGAAATCATCTTATAAATATGTTAGAAACAATCGCATGAAAGCAAAAACATTTGAATACATATCTTAGTGTTCATTTCACCTAACATCAGCTTATCTGGCCTTTTCTGCTTGTCTCAGACATAAACTAGTTATTGCAAATAAGGGAAACCATGGGACCTATGTTTCTTTGGACGTGGCTTACTTCACTTAATATAATTTTTTCTAAGTCTATTTCCTAACAAATGGGGCAATGTCATTCCTTCTGATGGAGGCATAGAATTCCAGTGTGTATGGTCAAATTTCTTAAATCAGCCTCTGAAGACTCTGAAGAGCTCTTTTTCCTTTTTGTCAGTTATATGGCTCAAACTCAGGGTGTGGGCATTGTCTCTGAGCTTTTCTGCTCAAGGCTAATATTGTACCCCTTTGAGCCACAGCTTGACTTCCCGTTTTCTGGTGGTTAATTGGAGATAAGAGTCTCATGGACTTTTCTGCCCAGGCTGTCTTTGAACCATGATCCTCAGATTTCAGCCTCCTGAGTAGCAAGGATTACAGGCCACCAGTGCCCAGAAGTATTGCTATTTTTAATGGATAGAAATATGTGCAGGAACAATTCATCTAGCAGAATAGGCCACAAAGGCCCCATCAAGTCCTGTTTGTCTCTACTGAAGAGTGAACATCTATGTGTGCATTGTGATTCCTGCAAGCTATTTCTGTGCTGAAGGAAGAGGTTCATTTTTCTTGGCCAGGAGTTCAGGTTAAAAAAGAAAAAAAATACAACACATGCCTAAGAGATCTTATCTTGGAGAGAAAAGACCTTTGACATTCTGGGGGCAAGCCAGTTTTTCTGCATGATGATTTTTTTCCCTGGAAATTTTTGGAACAGACTAGCAGAGGGAGCTGGGATCTCAGTAAGGGTGGTGTTTTCATTTTCTGGGAGCTTGAGGTCTGATTTAGCACATGGCTACTTGGCCAACACCTCTTCCTCTGAGGCCACAAGGATGTGGTGAAGACCAAGAGACTGTTTTGTTGATAAAATTGTGGGCAGATAATGGTGCAGGAATTGAGAAGGGACATTTTTCATTTTCTAGATTAATTTGTTTCTTCACCTGACTGAAATAGATTTGAGACCCAAACTCCAATATATGATGAGTTCGACTTCACTTTCTGAAAGTATTTGACTGATTAACTCTGGATTTGTAAGATTTGTAACTTTAGAGGAGGGAGAGGTATGAGCAAGCAGCACAACTTGATAAAATATTCAAGTGCAACTTTAAGTACTGGTAATGGCTCCTCACATCCATGTGGATCCTGGCTACCTGGTCTACAAATCCAAAACCACTATGAGAACATATATTTACATTGATCTTGGAGCAAAATACATGTAAGAAAGAACAGTTTGGCAAATGTTTTGTAATAGTATCCTTTGAAGAATCTAAAAAGTATGATAGATTCTACTCAGTGGCATCAGATCCCTTATCATCTTATCTGAGACAAGATAGAGTAAAGAACTTTTCACAATGCCTTTGCAAGATGTAGCACTGTAAGATGTCAAAATATTATCATTGAAATGTGGTCAGAGACCAATTTGGGAAGGTTCACATCATTCCAGCTTCTGTAACTAATTAAAAGTGAAATAGGCTGTCTTTCAAAAACACTTGAGTATGCATTGTGAAAGATTAGGCTATGGATATAAAAGCAGGCAATGAGATTCATAGTAAAAACACAGATATCTAAGTATCCACTAAGTAACACAGATAGCTAAGTAAACTACTTAGTGCCTGACACATAGAACTTGAGAGAGAGAGAGAGAGAGAACAATGGTAGCTATTTTGATTCTGTTTCTGGTTTCTATTATTACCTTAGCTATTTTACAATTAAAGGGGGGAAGTGCATAGCTACTCCCTGCCAATGAAAAACATTATGAAACTGTGTTCCAAGTGGAAGAAGAAAATGGGCTTTGGGCCGTGTCTGAACTGCTTGTTTTCTGGTTCAGATGGGACTGTTTTTAACCTGTGCTTGCCTTCCCTCTAGGGAAACTGAGATTGTAGAGCTCAAGTCCCAGCTGGCCCGGATGAGGGAAGACTGGATTGAAGAAGAGTGCCACAGGGTAGAGGCTCAGTTGGCTCTCAAAGAAGCCAGGAAGGAGATCAAGCAGCTCAAACAGGTCATTGAAACGATGAGGAGCAACCTGGCTGATAAAGATAAAGGCATTCAGAAATACTTTGTGGACATAAACATCCAAAACAAGAAGCTTGAGTCCCTGCTTCAGAGCATGGAGATGGCACACAATGGCTCCCTGAGGGATGAACTGTGTCTAGACTTCCCATGTGATTCCCCCAGGAAAAGTTTGCCCCTGGCCACCAATTTGGGCAAGGTGGCAGATGGCCTATCTCCAGAAGAGCAAATCACGGAGGAAGGGGCTGACAGTGAGCTGCTGATAGGTGATAGCTTGGCTGATGGCACAGATTTGTTGGATGAGGTGGTGATTGCTGCCACCCAAGAATCTGGTGACCTGGAGCCTGTTCACTCTACTCCAAAGGCAAAAGTCTTCGAGGCCCTCCCTCTGGTGGTGGGGCAGGAGGAAGAGGTCAGCATGGTGATGGAGCAAGCTGTGCAGACCGATGTGGTACCCTTCAGCCCGGCTGTCTCTGAGCTCATTCAGAGTGTGCTCAAGCTCCGGGACTCCTGTCCCTCGAGCTCAGCATCGCCTGATGAGTCTGGGGCTGACTCAACAGAGACCTTCCCAGAGTCCATCTCTCCCTTAATGCTTGATTTAACTCCAAGAAGTCCGAACTCAGCCATTCTTCTGTCTCCCATGGAGACTCTACCCAGCAAGGCAGCTATGGAAGCCCATGCAAACCGCCTCATGAGAGAGCTGGATTTCACCGCTTTTGCAGAAGAAAGGTTGGATGGCATCAACCCACTGTCTCAGGGGGGTGTCATGAGGCAGTACTGGAGCAGCAGTTTCCTGGTGGATCTGCTGGCTGTGGCTGCTCCTGTGGTGCCTACCGTCATGTGGGCATTCAGTACTCAGAGGGGTGGAATAGATCCCGTCTACAACTTCGGAGCCTTGCTCCGGGGTTGCTGCGTAGTGGCCCTGCATTCGCTCCGCCGCACCACCTTCCACAGCAAAACCTAAAAGTTGTTACTCTGCCAGTGTGTTCTGTGTGACGTTGTGCCCGGTAGAGAAACACGAAGTCGATCTGTGGCAGTCTCTATTCCGTCGTGTTGCTCCTCGGTATTTGATTTGCACTATAGTTAGTTGAAGCCTGTGTCACTGTTTAAAACCGGAGGTATCTTCCAAGACATGGAGACCTCATTCCAGTAAATGTCCCACCAGTATGGTATAGAAAGCATGCTAATGACCCTGCCCTGTCGTCCGAGGTCCCCCGAGGTCCCCCGATCTTAATCTAGTGGTTCAGGAAGAGAGAAATGCAGATTTTGCACTTTCAAGACAGCTTCTCCAAGGCTGGCATGTTATCTCCTTGCTTTGCTTTGTGCCGTTTAAAAAATGTGTAACTGTTCCAGAATTCCCAATGGTCTTGTGCATAGCAGGGGACTGTAACCAAAAATAAAAATGTATTTGCATAACTGGTTTGAAGAAGTCTTGAATAGCTCTTTAGTGTCTTACTTGGGGTTGATAAAGTTGAAGTGTTGGCAATTTTTGTAAAACTAAGTGTAGCTGCAAAGTCTTAAATGGCTTAAGTCTGTCCTTAAATCTGTTGATTGATGAAGTTGTATGTAAATTTACAATGTACTAACTTATTTTTTGCTTATTATATTATATATAGTGTTTTATTGGAAATTGTTTGTAACCACACACATCTGCATGATGAAAGTAAAGATTAGTGTTTCCACTTAAATAAATGTTTTATCCTCCTAATAAATACTCTGTGAGTCTATTTCCATGCAAGGTCTAAGTCACTGGCAGATCATCCATGGTGATGGAGAAGGGTCTATAACAATGGCACTAAGTAATGAGAGAGAATATTACTTCAGGTGAAGATTCTCTACCTTGACTATCAACACATCATTTCTTTTTTTTTTTTTTTTGTTCGGTCGTGGGGCTTGAACTCTGGGCTTGGGCGCTGTCCCTCAGCTCTTCAGCTCAAGGCAAGCGCTCTACC